AGAGTACGCGGAAAAAAAAGGAAAGTCTCCAAATACACCTATTGTTGTAGAAACAACATCCACCATTCAGAAAATAGATTTGTTCAAGAAATGCAAGATCATTAATAATATGAACAAATCTAAGCTCCGTGCGAAACATCTCGGTATGACTACCTCTGAGGAGACCCCAATATTTGTATCTGAGCAAATAACTGCTAAAGCTGCAAGACTCTATTTTATTGTCAGTGATTTAATTAAATCTACGGATTATAAATATTGCTGGAACAATTATGGCAATATCTATGTTAGAAAGGATGATGAATCCGCTATTATTACATTGACTTCTGAACCCCAAATTCAAAAACTGTTTTATGTAAAATGACTAGATTTGGTGTTTATGTTGTCATATTGTTTGTTTTCTTGGTTTCTGTTATGTTTTTTTTTATTTTATGGTTTTTTATTTTATTACGCTGTACGGTGCGTTGGGAGGCAAACGCGCGTTTTTGGTTAGACGTTATAACGATTTCAATTTTAATTAATGTTCTTACATTTACACTCACTCTCATACTCTACACACACAAACTACTCTCTACTCTACAACATACAAAATCAATTAAACATTTCCTATTTATAAGTTTTTTTTTATTAATATAATTCGTAGAGATAATGGCAAAATATCTATAATTACTAAATTTTATAAAATATTTAGCACAATGACCGTTCCGTTTTATTCTCAAATATTCAATTTCATACTACCCCCTCGATCATTTCAATCTTTCCATTTATACTAAATTAAATGGTTACTTCTTTTCAAACATTAAATGACATAGATAGTGCTAAAATTGCTGACTCCATACAATGCAATATCCAGGACTTAGAAAAACACATTAAAATTAATAAATCAGATCTTACTATCTTTACGCAAAATATAAGAAGCGTGAATTGTAATTTTGATGATCTTTTGCTAACAATAGTTAAAGATCAAATTCTAGTTGCAATAGCGCAACTAGAATTTGATCCTGATGTATTGGTCCTGACAGAGTGTCATCTAGATAAATACAAAGCTATTCCTATTCTTTCAAACTATACACATCTTGCAACAACACATCATATAAATCAGAATGATGGTGTAGTGATATATTCAAAATCCTTATTAAAAGCTAACATTACAGAAGTTATATTAAAAGAGGCGACATGCTTACAAGTAAATATTTTTAATCATGTTGTACTTGGTATATATCGCTCTCCATCCAATAGTAATGCATCAAATTTTATAGATTCTCTAAACAACCATTTGTTAACTATAAACTCTGCTAATGTTACTATCACAGGTGACATTAATATAAATATAATTCCTAAATTTAATGAAAAATTATATGAATGCAATAACAGAATAAATGATTTGTACATGTTGTCTACACACGGTTTATTAAATGGACATAATTTTCCTACTCGTGAAAGTAGTTGCCTAGATTATATTATTATAAAATTAAATGAACCTAAAGTGTCACCATTTATAGTAATTATTAACACAATAATTACTGATCATCTAAGTCTATTACTAATCCTATCAAAAAGTAAACATAAATCTATACAGACTAAAACTAAATTAATAATAGATTACGAGAAAGCCTAAAATGTTTTGCTTGAAAAGACTTAGAGCGTCTACTCTTGTGTGAAGACCCTAACTTACTTATTGAACAGCTTACTCAAAATTTTGGATGAGGCAAAAATTACTAAGTATCTTCCAAAAAATCAGCGAACTATAAAGCCTTGGATCAGTACAGGTATTTTGCGATGTATAAAGAACAGAAACCAAATGAAGCTTATACTAATATCTGACCCAGATAATAATATTCTAAAAATAACATTTAAAATATATCGTAATCATTGCAACAATTTGATTAAAAAAACTATAGAGAAAATACGAACGGGAACAACTTACTAATGCTTCTAAAAATTCAAAAAAATCTTTGGCTAATCTTTGTTTTCGTACAGGATTATCCCCGGTCTCACTTAAAAAATCTTTAATTACTCCGGTTTATAAAAGTGGGAATAGAGACGATGTCAACAACTATAGGCCTATCTCTGTCCTTACATCTATTTCAAAAATTTTAGAAAAAATAATAAACATTCGAATAATTTTATAAAATTAAGTATTTAACTAAATATAACAAATTATCAAAAAATCAATTTGGATTTAGACAAAAAATTTCTACTGAAGACGCGGTTTTAACACTTACTTCTTTAATAATTGAAAATGTTGATCACGGAGAAAATGTATTACAGTTTTTCTTGATTTATAAAAAGCATTTGACACCGTTGTTCTCACTCTAGTTGCTAAACTGGAACATATCGGCATTCGAGAAAAACCACTTGAATTGATGAGGGACTATTTGCAGAAGTACCCAGAGAGGGTAAAATTGAAGACTACTAAAGCCAAGACTTCGACATTACTTACGGCGTACCACAGGGGAGTGTCTTGGGACCTACTTTTTTCTTGATATATATTAATCAGCTCACAGAATAAAATATTGAGGATGGCCAAGTCCTTTCGTATGCTGATAACACTGCTATTGTGTTTACTGATAGTACATGGAAAGGTGTATTTGAGAAGGCTGAAAAAGATCTTTCTAAGGTCTTTAGATGGCTTAGACATAATCTACTAACACTAAATGTTTATAAAACCAACTATATGTGTTTCAATATAGATATAAACGAACAGAGCCCTCTAGACTTCACTAAAAATTCATCAATGTGATGATACGGATTTTTTTAATTGTAATTGTGAAAAACTTGAGCGAGTACATAACACAAAATACCTTGGAATAATTTTCTTGGATATGGATTAATCAAATAGAATACGTAAACACCAGAATTCGTAAGCTTATATGGATATTTAGAAAACTGCGTTACGTTACGACTAAATTGATAAATCAAATTTACACATCTTTAGCTCAGTCAGTTCTAGGATTTTGCATTACGGTATGGGGAGGAGCGCAAAAACTAACTTACTGAACATAGAAAGAGGACAACGATACCTTCTTAAAGTCATGTATTTTAAGCCTATTAGATTTATTACAGAACAACTGTATAATATTTGTGATGTTCTTACGGTTAGGCAACTATATATCTTACAGGCAATTTTAAAAACGCATACTAACTCGCCATATGATCCAAAAAAAAAACATTTATACGGGGGAATCATAACTTCAACGTCAAATCTAAATTTTCTGAGAGACAGTACAGTGCCCCATTAAGATATATGTACAATTATTTAAATAAAACATTAAACTATCGCGAATGTAAAAAAATACTTACCGATCATCTTAAAAAATTAACATATCACTGCACCGAAAACATTCTACGTCACGGAATTAAATAATATATGTTTATTAGAATAGAAAAGAATTAAATAAAAATAATAATAATAGATATGCTAACGCTTTTAAGCACATACAATCACACATACACACACATGCACTCACGCGGCCGCACAAACACACACACACACACACACACACACACACACACACACACACACACACACACACACACACAAACACACGCCCACATTAAATCATAGGTAATCTTGCTCGGCTTATCTCATCTCAATATTTAATCTTATTAGGAAGAGCGGTGCCTCCTGACACAGGTATTCTTTTATACTTACTAGGAGGCTCCAATTACTTTATTATTTAGTATGCCTCGAGAAAGAAATAAATGGATTTTAATTTTAATTTTTTAATTTTAATTTTAATATCGAATTTACACGAAAATTGGAAAAACAAAGTTAAGCCAGAGAATGTTTCTATTTCAAGTTCTGAAGTCAGTAATGCCCTGTATTCATGGCAGACATTTGTTGAACAATAGAGTTGAATCAACGCGTTGCAGAGTTGCCGTCAACATGTTGCTGGCAACACTGCGTGTTGCGGAGTTGACAACGGCATGTTGACAAGCTCTCGCCCGACGAGCGTAAACATCAGTTTAGCAACCAATGTTGACGTGTGTGAACGCGTTTGCAACAGATTATAAACATGGCAGTAGTGTGGAGCAATGATAAAATAATGCAATTAATAGAATTATTTCAATCAAAATCATTATTATGGGATTTTCCTATAAAATAATACAAAGATAGAAAAAAAAAGAACGATGCATTCGAAGAAATTTCTCAAGCCCTAAATATACCCAAAAAAGATGTGGAAAATAAAATACATGTACTGCGTACTCAGTTTACTAGAGAGAAAAAAAAGATGTCAGCAAAGAAAACTCCAGACAGCGGCGCAATAGAAAAATGTAAATGGATTTATTACGAGCCATTGGAATTTTTGTTATGTGGTGCAATCACTTCTGGTGAAACGGATACTGAATGACTGAACGGATCCTGGGTGAATAAAACAGTAAGTTGTTTTTGTATATAATTTTTATTGTACTATTACAGACATTATTTTTACAGACAAAAATTATTTAACTTACGCTACATTATTTTGCCATAGAACACCTCCCTCTGGACCTATAAAGTCATCGGCAAACTGTTCTCTAATACAAAAAGCTGATTGTGATGCATGTCTGCCCCGTGTTAGCAAATCGCCCATAGGAAACGAACCTAGTTCCCTTCGTCATGAACCTTCTATTAGGTTACCTTCAGAGTCTTCAAAATCAAAAGTTTGTGGAGGTGTATATATGGAAGAGGAAAATATGTTACGTCTTAAGAAATTATGTAAATATACACAAGCAATTACCACGAGTTCACAATTGGCTGGTTTTTAACTAAATAGGTTTAGTGAATATACGGAACACCTCACATAAAATGCCAAAAACATTTTCTATAATCCTCCTAGCTCTTGATAGTCTGTAATTGAATATACGCTTTTTGTTCCCACGTTCATGAATGCCAGGATATGGTTTCATGATGTTCTCCGTTAGCGCGAAAGCACTGTCACCTACAATAACGTATGGCATTTCTGGTCCGCCTTGTGTTATTGGTTCAGGACGTGGCAGTTTAAGTGAGTTTTCTAACAATGCATTATAAAAAGGTGTTTCCTGAAATATTCCACTGTCGGACGACCGACCCTTAGCTCCACAATTTGCTTATATAAAGTTATAATTTCCATCTGCAATTGCGAGAAGTACCATGTTGAACTGATTTTTGTAATTGTAGTATTCACTTCCAGAATTATTTGGCGCTACAATCAAAACGTGTTTCCCATCAACGGCTCCAATGGAATGTGGAAAATTCCATCGTATTTCGAATTCACGACTTATTTGTTTCTATTCCTGCACGGACCTTGGAACCTACAAATATAAAAAATAATAATAAGATGATTATTTACAGGTGGATGAAAACAATGCACTTGAAAGTGATATGGAGTTAGAGTCATCTCAATCACCAAGGCAAGTTATGAAAAGTGCGAAAAAAAAGATGTACGAAAAAGAGAAGAAGGATCCATTTGATATTTATGGTGAATATATAGCTGCTGAATTAAGTAGTGTTAATGATGACCATGCCGTAACACAGGCAAAGTACCATATTAATAATATACTGTATGAATTAAAAATGGGACGATATAATACATATGGATATCAAACGGCATCTTCTCATACATCATCAACACCAAATAATGTCCAGGAAACTGAAATACGGGAAATTGCAAGACAGGACACAAATAGAGTAGATGCAATAGAAGACGAAATAGAAGATTCTGCTATACTACTCGTAAACTTAGTTAACTATCTCAGTGATGAATCAACACAATAGCATAAACTGTTTTTTTGTGGTTTTTTTTTTAAAATATTAATATACTTGATTACACAAATATTGTTTTTGTACCTACCTTGACATATCCTGATAGCGAGTTAATTAGTTCTTGGCATACATGTGGTATGATTTTGCTGATCAATTGTTTAGATACTCTGAATGTGTATGAAGAGAACTGTATGAATCTCCAGTTGCAAGATACCGTAATGTAATAGCCAGCCTCGTTTGAGATGAAACTGGCCGACGAATGTTTGTTTCCCTTTTGGCTATTGACGGACCAATCATTTCTAGAAGATGTTCGAAATCACTTTCCGACATTCTCGTAAAGTTAATAAATGATTCATCTGTCATTCTGAAGACACTCATCAAATTTTCTCTTTGCAGGAGATAGTTTCGTCCACCACCAAATCCACCATTTTTTTTTTCTTTTTTTATTAGAAATCCTATACATCAGATACAGAGAACACAACAACACTACTTCCTCGGGTAAAAATTTAACGCAGACTGGCGTGTGGACAACGTATATTGATTTAAACAAAGTTTAATCAACATTCTCCCCGTTTCATCCACAATGTTTATCAACTGTTGCTCAACAAATGTTTCCCATGAATACGGGGCTTAACACTGCGGTTGAGGGATCAACGGCAGTTTCTGATATCAAGTTTAATATAGCTTATCCAAACCAGTATTTATTTCTACTCCAATAAAAAATGAAAATGTAACTATCGATGATAGCATTCAATTATTAGGGTCTCCAATCGATGATAAGTATTTGGTTTCATCATACATAATACTTGGCATTCTTTAGAACAAAAATCTGAAACCAATTTTTCTATCCAATTATAATCAAAACAACCTCGTTTTGAATTGAAGTGTAATAAATTATCAAAAAAGAAAAAGAAAAGACATAGATACAAAAAATTTAAGTACCTAACAAAAACAGTGAAAATATTTAACGCCTTTCCAAGAAATTGAATTTCATCATTCTAATGCGCTAGATAATAAGAAATTGAGAAAAAATCTAAGAAAAAAATTATCAGTAACAGAATGCATATATAATTAAAGGTAAAAAAATTAACTTTATTTAATACCTGTTCTTTTGATGATTTTTTTCATGTTTACTGCATTATGCTAAGTTTGGTGGAAATGTTGCTTTTAACAAAAAGGGCTTAGTGATTTAAGTCATAAATATCCAATAGAAAATTGTTGTGTTAATTATAGAGATGATGTTTTGGTAGTTTTTGCACGCATTCTGCATGAATTGGATTGTAATACTGAACAAAGTCATTGTCAAAACAATGCATGTAATTATGATAAAATCGTTAAGGATCCTGTGTTAAATAATAGTGCTACATTTATTTGGGAAAATGGATTTAAATCGTTAAAAAATAGTATTTGCCAAGAATAAAAAAAATCTTTATTTGTGTGATAAGTGTCAGAGTGTATCAGCCAACGGAATAATTAACATCACTTCTTATTTATGCCTTAATATTGCTCGCTTTTAGGAACCGTCAATATACCTTAAAAATTTAAATAAAAAACAACGAGAATTATATAACCTCGAAGAAATACATAAAAATTTAGATGTACTGAATAAGAAATTTATATTACCTGGTCATATCAAATTTGTTCCACCAATATTGCCAAAAGGTGTAGGGCATCATGTTGCTTACACTTGAGCTCTAAATAATATTTGGACACAAATTAATGACACTGAATCAAACTCAAAAGTATTTAGTCCAAATATGCGAGAGATTAGAGCAGTTTTACTATTTTATGTGTTAGCATGAATAAAGTGTTTTATTATGATATATAAATAATCATATGTAGCATAAACTGTTAATTAAAAAATTTTTTACATCTTTCTTTTTTTGCTTTTGATAAAAAAATGTTACCTCCACATTAGGATTTTCTCCTGTATTGTGGGCAGTATACATACATAAATTTCACAAGGGCAAATATCCAGACCCGGAATAATTATTTGTAGGCCATACAAATAATTGTTCCGTACTGGATTCGAATCCGCGGTCTTAGGCGCTGCAACTCATTGCTAATCACGTAGCCACCTTTGCGATAGCTAGAATCTTAGTAAGTTAAATAGTGCTCAAAATTATGATCATCTGATTTATTTAGATATACAAATTGGTTTTCAATTGTGAATTACGATAAATCCATCTGGAATAAAATATAATTGTAATTATAATCGTTTTTACTATTGTGTTTATGATAATCCAAAAAATACACCAATAATTATACTAATAATATTGCAATGTAAATTATTTTCAATTCATACATAACCAGAAACAGCTTTTGCATCGTCATAGCTACCAGCACCACTGCTACCATAGTGTTCCACGATTTTAGCTTGTAAATAATACTGTTGGATGAACAGGTTGATTTTAGTCCAATTTAATTTACCAAGATTCTATCATTATATTACAAAATATTGGACCTAAATTAGACCCTTACAGTACTCTGGAATAAGCAATATATGGCAGGGAGCAATTACCATCTATCAACACGGTATAAGGTCTACCATAAAGTTATTATGAGCACTAATCCAATAGTCTCACTACTTCCAAGTTTTCTTAGTTTATTTACAAGTAATAAGTGATTTACTTTGTCAAGAGCCTTAGCGTAGTTTGTATATATAGCATCTACTTGCATATCAATATTTTCAATCAAATCAGTAACATAAAGGAATAAATTAGTAATAGTAGATTTACCAGAGAGGAATCCATGCTTCTGCAAGCTGAAACCTGTTACTAAGTCTTTGAAGATTGATTCGTAAACTAAGATCTCAAAGACTTTTGACATAGTGGATAAAATGGAAATAGGTCTATAATTTGGGAAAACTCGTAGGATTTTCTCCTTTATAAATAGGTACGATCCGTGCTTCTTTCTCTTTTTCAGAGAAAATACAAGAATTCAAGATTCGTAAAATACGAGGTGTGATCAAAAAGTAGGTGACTTTTCAAATTTCGCGGGCTAAGTCAGTTCGAATTTCGATTTTTTTTGTTATGTTGATACACGTGTCTTTAACATCTGTGAAAAATTTCAAGTGTATAGCATATTTTGTTTATTGGCATTAAGGTTAAAAGAGTTTACATTAAATTTTGTTTAAAAATGGAATGAAGTGCTCTAAAACTCTTGAAATGTTGACAGTGGCATACGGTGAGTCTAATTTAAGTAAAAATTTTTACAAGTGGTATAAACTCTTCAAAGAAGGCCTAAAAGACACCAATGACGAACCTCGCTCTGGGCGCCCCAGCACGTCATCAACTGATGAGAACGGTGAAGAAGTGAAGAAAATAGTGTTGAGGAATCGTCGAATTACTATAAGAGAAGTTGCTGATGATATCGGCATTTCATTTGGTTCATGCCAAGCCATTTTGACGAATGTTTTGGGCATTAGACGTGTGTGAGCGAAATTTGTTCCCAAATTGCTAAATTTTGACCAAAAGAATGTCGCATGAGCATCGCTGAAGAGCTGTTGAATGACGACAACGACGACCCAGATTTACTCAAAAGGGTCATAACAGGTGACTAAATATGGTATGGTATACGGTTATGACATCGAAACTAAGGCTCAATCGTCCCAGTAGAAGCAGTCAGACGAGCCGAGACCGAGAATAGCACGCCAAGTTCGGTAAAATGTCAAGGTGTTACTCACTGTTTTTTTTTATTATTATCATAGCGTAGTGCATCGGGAGTTCTTACCACAAGGTCGTACGGTTATGCGCCGTTTCCGTGAAGCGATACGAAAAAAAACGCCCGGAATTGTGAAAATTGGTTATTGCACCACCATAATGCGCCAGTTCACACGTCATTGCTTATTAGGTAATTTTTTGGCCAAAAACAACACTGTAATCATGCCACAGCCATCGTATTCACCGGCCTTAGCCCCCTGTGATTTTTCCCTGTACCCGAAACTCAAGAAATCCATGAAAGGACGGCGTTTTGCAAGTATTGAGGACATAAAGACCGCATCGCTGGATGAACTTTGAGGATTGGAAAAAGCGTTGGCACAAGTGTATTGCATCTGAGGGGGGTTACTTGAAAGGGACAAAATAAATATTGATGAATGAATAAATAATTTTTGATAAAAATAAAAAGTTACCATACTTTTTCATTACACCTCGTATAATAGTCAACGGAGTAGTTAGTGCGATTCTACACTTATGTATAAATATAGGCGAAACATTGTCTGGGACTGCACTTTTAGATGTATCAAGTCTTTTTAGTCTTTTCTCAACTTCTCCCTTGTAGAAGTAAATCTTGTCTAAATAATATTTTCATTTAGCAATTGATGGCAGAGAAAAATGATTTATACCATAGTTTTTTATTAAATACCGATGAAAAGTGACTAGCAAAGAAATCACATATTTCTTGCCTAGAATTTGCCTGTTGATTATGCAGAGACATTTTATTAGGGTAATTTGAAGCTTTACGTCGCGTATTTTTTACATACGTCCAAAAATATTTCGAATTATGGCCAATAGTTTCCTCAGTGCATAATATATATTGGTAGTGGCATTTTTTTATGAGTTTATCACTATCTTTCCTTAGATAAGTTAATTTAAATTTATCTATTGCCATCTGTAAAATTTCATAAAACATAAATACCATTTCATTTATATTATTTAATGAGCCCAGAGCTTGGAACCAACCAATGTCATTAAGATATGCTACAATGGAATCGTAGTCAGTTTTATTATAAATGTGTATACGCTTAAGTTATAGGAAATATATCCGTAGAGATATTTTTTAAAGTAATGTCTAATGTTGGGGAAAAATTATCTACTTTGCGTAGTGGAAATTGACTTTCAGTGATATTGAGGAATACCCAACGTAGGAATAAGACCTAATCTAAAATTTACCGCTTTTATTTTTGATGGCGTTGAATTGTTTGAGATCGTGCAAGGCAAAGAAATTTATTAGGCTATTTTTAAGGAGGCAATTAATATGGTTGCTTAGAGATGCCTGCTGATTATTGTCAG